TTTAAAAATTGCGTTATCTGTAAACAAAATTCTCTTAAAGAGTAAAAAAAAACAAGTTTAAAAAGAAGTGATTCACATGTGTTTGGAAAAATGTTCTTTTCAAGTTATCCTTTCTTCTACAGCCATGATGGTAGTTCCTGTGAGCTTTTTGTTCACATAGTACCACATAATAATTTTTTTAATTTTCTTATAAAAAAATAAATGTATGCATCCTTTACAGAGAACACACTTGTGCAGAGTTTAGTGCACAATTTCTATTTATTTTCTGTTTCTAGCACATTTGAAAAAACAGTACTACAAGCAAATAAACAGTAATTGTGCATACATATATATATATATATATATATATATATATATATATATATGCATATAGAGCATTCCTCCCATTTCTGTAATTGAACTGTAACTGAGATACAGCAACCAAACACTTTGTGGGTTTATGAATCTAAAGTGTTTTTGTAGTTCTCCTTTTTATTCTAATAGAGGATTAAATTAAAATGGAAAAGATTTATTGCCAGTGGCAGACCATAACATTCCTTGCCTAATGAAACATAATATGCTTTTGGCAGGCGCTTATAAGGCAGTGAAAGTTTATAAGTCGCTACATGTGATTAATTGGACTCATATTAAAATCATGAAACTCAATATTACCAGTAGACCTCTCTTATTTGGGATAAATTTAAATATAGCAACCAATCTTGTTCTTAGTGGTCTGCTGCCAGCCTCAGGCATTCTCCTGTATGTCTGATTGCAGTTTAAGAGTTGTCATACTGCTTGAGTTTAATTAGTGTTGTTTGATATTGGATTATTTTAGTGACCTTTTAATGACATCTGGGATATTGATTTCACATGATATTCACAAAGAAATTAAACTTTAGACTAAAATAAAAAAAAAAAAACATTGATCTAAATGTAATATAAAGCCTGGCAAGTCAGTTTAACATGGTTTATTATTCATAGTCAGTATAGGAGTCATTATTGCATTTTAAATTCAAATTTAAAAATATTTCAGTATATTAAACTAAAAAATTAAATTTTAGTTTAATATACTGAAAAGTTCTAAAAGCACAAAACTGATGATTGCAAGGCTTCCAGTATACAGTGCTGTACAAAAGTCAGAGAGCAACCTTCGTGTATTTAATTTCCAGTCGAAACAGCCTTTAAGTACAAGGTATTGATTTTTTAGGACATATTTCTGGGGAGATTAGATATAAGATAGTCCACTTTCATTTGAAAAGAGAATGTCAAAGAAAAAATAAGTAAAAGGACTTCCCAAAATTGGAGTTCAAAAAATGAAAAGACTCCTACGCTATGGGTCTAAAAGCATGTGTAGCTGTCAGTGAGCCCTTAATGAGAAAAGGAGACGGACACATCAAACAAAATTTGAATGGACTGACCACCCCAGAGTCCAGACCTCAACATCACTGAATGTGTTTGATTACTTCAGAAAATGATCAACCAGACTGAACCTTGGAGGTGTGTCTGCAGATTTCTTTGAGAAAGCAAGTCTCCTGAAAAGAATGGAGGCTGGAATAAAGGAAGAGTAAATAGTGAAGAATCTCTTATTATATTTAGTTTTTAAGGCTTCTGTGTGATTAAAAACTGACTGGATATTAATAAATGAAGGGTCTTTTTTGCACAGTACTGCATGCATATACTAACATACTCTTATATTAACCTCATATTAGCCTCTTAAAGGCATTCATGTATTGTAGTAAGTGAGCGCAGTTGTATGTTGTATGGCTTGTAAAGTGTTTTTTGTAGACTTTATGGGTCTATATTTACAAATGGCATAGCTTTAGCTAAACAGTAGTTGTCAGTTATGTCTGGTATTGCAATTTGTAGTTTTACAGTTACACTCTACAGTTAAATCCAGTCCCACCTTGTGCTACCTTCTTGAAATGTCCTACTGTAGCACATATTTATAAGTACTGCTTTACATAAAACTGTAGATATGATATTTTGATAGACTAAATCACCTCATCAGAAAATGCTTCCAGCTTTGAAATGCATATTTTGATAACCCACATGTCTTTATCAAAGGCTAGGTAGTAATATAAAGCTGAGTCTGTACTGAATTAACATTAGTTAGTAGCAATATATGCATAGTAGGGCCGCTTGATGAGTGGGACAAATTGTTAGAACTCCTGTGAATGTTTGCACTGCCTAGAATTTAAAAGTTTGAATGGCTCTGTCCTGATTGTCCTCCAGAAGCATTTCCATCGTGTTGTGGCTGATTCTGCAGCGTTTCTGAAGATTGTAGATCAGTGCATTTGTAAAATGTAGCACTGGCGTCATCATGTTAATGAATGTGTTTGCAGCTTGTCTACAAATTTGCAGCACATTTTTATTATTTTGCAAAGCGCTGGTAAAATGCAAGGCATATGTTGTAATTTTAATGAAAGTATTTTCTGCTTTTTCCAACTTGAGAGTCTTCTCAGCCACTATACTTTTCATCCACTTTATCCAACAAGGGGGCAGAAAAAGGCCACAAAGTAGGAAAGCATCCCTGAAAATGATTGTGCACATGTTCTGAAGTGCACACTTATTGACTGTATAACTAATAACTACAAAGCTGTCATTCAGACCTCAGTCAGTTCACCTCCTCCTTTTGGGCAAAAAAAAAATTGGCAGGATTACGAGAACAGGATTGTAGCATCAGCAGTAATACAAATATGTTATTAAATATTCATACTGATTGAGATAGTATACAGAAGTCTGTCCATTTAGACATATTTTTAAAAAATGTCAAATTGTTTATCTTAGAGCTGTTTAATTCTATGGTGTTTGTAGTTCAAGGTAGTTTAAGGTAGTTTGTAGTTTAAGGGTCTTGTCATCTGTTGTCTGTGGTTGTTTTTCTCTGTGAATAAACATAGCTTTTGCGTTCGTAAAATTGTTTCTGCTTGTCGGATTGTGACATAGTGATTAACCCAGTGTTTATGTTTTCTAAAAAAGAGAAATACAATCAGGTTCTGACTAAAAAGCCTTCTCTGATCTCACTCTTGCTTCTGTGTAGGTGGCATATCGTCACAGAGTCAAAATCAGAGTTGTCATTGCATTGTTTAATGAAGAGATCATTAAAGACATCAAAGGTCAGTCATTGTATGCTAACTTGTTGGTAAGCGTTCTCCTCTTTGTTCATTACCCTTTAGAAAGTATTACCAAGACTGTTGCTATGTGTACTTCCAGAGGAAAAACAAATAATAAAAACAATGAAATTGATGTACCTACAGCCTCTTTTAGACTCGTTCAGTCTTGTTTATTCCTCCACTTTCAATTGCATTTTGTCCACTAGATCCTGCAGTCTGGCTAAATGTTTCTTGTCCTTTTTGGCCTATGGAAATGATAATGACCAAACAGAATTTTGGATTCACTAAGATCTTACCAGTATAATCACACATCAGTTCATCACCTGATAGGTGAGCTCCTTCACTCTCCTCACAAACTTATGGACTTCTTAAATAGCATTGAACTCCTTAAACAGACCCTGCAGTCTTAAAGCTCACTTAAAGGCACTCTTAAAGCTCACAGCTTTAATGGATTCCTCAAATGCTTGTAGACACTGGGCAAGCATTTTCCAGAGGAAAAGTAATTTAAGTAAATCTTAAGTAATTTACCTACTTGGCTTCCACACTCTTCTTAGTACACTAGATGGTATCAGTCTCGTATTTGTTATTGACTGCAGCCTTTCCTTGGCCTCCTTGAACACACATCACCTATGCATTATATTTTCAGCGTTTTCCTGTATCTGGCCAGGTGAATGATGGATCCCTCCTTCTGTAATAGTGACAAATACCAACCCAGGTAGATTGGTAATAACAAGTGCAGTATTGCTTAGTGCTAGCAAGGATTCATTAAGCCTGCCTATTGTAGGCTTTTGCTTTCATCTGATGGTTATATAGTGGTCAGTTGACGGAGCCATGTCTCAGCCAAGCCTTACCTTCAGCCTCAATCTCACATTCCTGCATCACATATTTTAGATCTCTTAAAAATCAAAAATATGTCATTCAATATGTTATTTCATATTTTACTGTCTTCACTTTTAGTCTAAAATTAGTGAAGTGGTCAGCTCAAAATAAGGAAAGCCATTTTTATAAGTAGGTCTGTCTAAACTTTTGATTAGTAGTGTGCATATTTGTGCCTCTTTAGGACACACTGTAATCACAAGTACACTTCCATTTAAATACTGTAATCAGTTATCATATAACACTTGTTCTTTTGGGAACAACAGTACTTTATAATGTGGTAAAAAACAATTTGATACAGAGATTTGGGTATCATTTTTTTAAATTGAGACATTCTGGATACTAATTTTTAGTTCAATATAAGATCTGTACGGTAATAATCTTTAGAGTATTAACATCATATAAGAATCATTTGATACATTTCACTGCTGTGAAATTAGTAGAACTTATTATATCATTGATATCAGTGCTTCCAAACTTTTGAGTGATAGTGTGGCTAAAGAATATGTGATGATTTGCTGTAAGAAAGTCAGGTCTTAAGGTTAACTCCACTATTTTATGGCTTTTGGCACTAATAAGAAAACTTGATCAGATGTGAAGAAGCACTCCAAGGTCACTGGTGTTCTGTTGCAGGGTCACTGCGAGCTTTGCATATTATAAATAGATAAATTGCCTTAGTTTTTCCAGACAGACTGAATGCACTAAACTGCATGTATTTTAAGACTATGATGACCATAAAAAAGCAATTACATGACAACAAAAAGACATACATTTTTTGAACGGTTGTTTTTTTTGGCTCTAGTTTTTGCCAGCAGGGGATCAAATTAGCCTAGCAAAATTACTGAGTCAGATTTATTGCGCATGCCAGGCTGTAACATTTACAACCAAATTGAAAATAGGATGCTTTTTGGCAGATACTCTTGCATGTGGTAAACTGAGAATATGATACTCAGTATCACAAATTTTATGGTCTTATTAGGAATAAACACAAATATAGCAACGAGCACAGCAGTGCTCTCAGGAGTCTGCTGTGGGCTTAGATTGTACACACTATTATTTAGTCTACTCCTGAAGGCTGTACAAAGGAGTTTATTCTTATGCTTTAAGAGTTTCCCGGTTCCTGAGAGGTGCAGTCTTTCTCGGAAGTAAGAGTTTCTCTTCATTTTTACAGCACTTTTACGAAGATGTTTACTTTTTGTAATTGTAATTTTGGTGTTAGAAGATTTACCTGAAAATGTTGTGAAAAATAGCCAAATAAACAGGAGCTGTCTAGTGATGTGTGCATACTATTCTCTCCTTAAGTAATAGACTTGTGATAGACTTGACACACGTAATGGAATTTTATCTTAACTGTGCTTCAGCATGAACAGCATGTAGCTACATACAATGCAGGGTACTGTTTACCTACCATGCAGGTTTCAGAGGGGTATTGGAAAGATGGTAAAAGCTTTGGTATGTAGTTGTTTTACTGTTTGAGACATTTTCTCATTAATGAGACACTTCTCATTAAGATACAATGTACAGTCCATACTTTGATAAACAACTGTATGCTTATAGATGCTTATAGTATTTTAATCGAGGAAGAAATATTTTAGCTCGGAGTACTGGGTGACAGCTTGCTTTAACATGATGGCCGAAATTAATTTTGCACAAAGCTGTTTTTTTACAGTTGTTGGAGGAAATTTGTGTTTGTGTTTGTGTTAAACTAATCTTTAATTAATTCTGAGACCAAAATATGTACAGAATCTCTGTGTTTGTGTCTGTCAGGAAAATGAAAAAAATGTGAGCAAATCATTTGAGTTTGAGTGTGATTTGATGTTACACATAGAAATACAATACTTATATATGTCTATACACTGCAGTTGGTCTTGTGAACATGCACATACAAAATGATTATTCTCAGAATATTGTTTAACAGGAATATTTTTGGTTTGGAGTTCTGGGAGGCAGCTTGCTGTATCATGCTGGCCAAAACCCTGGCTTTTCCCTAAAATTTATTAGTTCTTTTTTTACCCAGTTTTCCCCTACAAAAGCAAGATTTTTCTGTTGACATATTTATGTCTTCAGCACTGAAATAACTCTGAGATGACTCACTGGGTTATAAAGAATGATGATAAATGACAGTAAGCTATCAGCAGCTATGAGCTTGATAGCTTCTTTGGTGTTACAAAGATATGCATTTTATTTTTTGGTTAAAACCAATTTATGAGTATATGAGTATACACCATGTGTGCAGAAGTATCCAGATGGCCCTTTTAATGATTGTATTCATTCCTTCATTAATTTAAGACACACCCATTGCTGACACAATTGATAAAATATGCACATTGCCATGCGGCCTCCATAGAAAAGCATTAACAATACAATGGGACACTGTGGAGCAGCCGCACACAAACCTAAGATCAACACAGATGTTGACGGGTCGGTCGGAGGGAGTGAAGCTCCCTGCCTTTGACCTGTGCATCAGTGTAGTCTGATATTTTAGGACGAGTTTGGGCTGTTCGTAATCCAGAAATCATCAGTCAACATCAGTACCTGACCTCACTAATGCTGTTGTGGCTGAGTGGAATCAAATCCTCACAGCAATGTTCCAACATTTAGTGTAAAGCCTTCACAGAAAAGTAGAGGCTGTTTCTGAAGCAAAGGGGGGACAAACTTCCTATTAATACCCCCTGATGTTAAGTGTGCAGGTGTCTGGATACTTCTGCACATATAATGAACATGGATTGGATGTTTAATTTTAAGAATTGCACATTTTGTTTGAATGTGTAAATATTCAGAATCCAGACTGATGTAGGTTTATCCTACAGAGCTATTTATTTTAGATTTCATTCTAGACAAGATTACATTTTTATTTTATTACTTATTTATTTGGTTTGCTTATTGTTTTTCAGCAGATAAACATTTCTTAGAAGACCACGTGTTGCTGATCTGGGATGCTGCCTGCACCTGAACTTCTTCCATTTTTTTTTACTGGGCCTGTGATGGCGAACTGAAGTTTACTTTTCAGGCTCTGCAGGTGAGCACTGCTTCGTTGCTGCATTAGTAGACCTTTTGTAGAAGTTTTGTTCTCCTTTTAGCATTCGTTATTTCTTTACACATACTATTCACCATTTGCAAAGAAATATGAATTTAACATTGATAGGTTCTGGGATTCAAAAAAATGCAAACAGTTAATAGCAATTTTAGCATTTTTATGAGGAAGGCAGTGATATTAAAAGAATAGTAAAATATTTGTCATTTTGTCCAGCATTTAGATCAGTTTGATTCTGTTAGAAGAGCAGATTAAAAAAACACTGGAACATTGTTGAATATCATACAGTAGGACTTTATTGGGTCCATAATTTATTCAAGGACAAATAACAAGAAATACATATTTTATGATTGCTTGTTGGTGCCCCACTTGGTCATCATTCTTTATTCAGCTTCTTTGGCCTAAAAAAAATAAATGGATTATTAGTAAACATTACTATACACAAAGTGCAGTAGTCAATTTTTTTTAATGTTAATGATGCCTCTGACTTTACAAGTACAAATCGCCATGCTATCTTTATTTAAAAATTGCAAACTATTATATTTGACAGTCCAGTACCCTGTTGCAAGAAATTAAGAAATCTACTAATGTTCTACATTAACATTAAAATTTCTCAGCTGAAGTACATTTCTCTTTGAATGACTTGAATTTACCTTTCCCGCATCTCTGCTCTTGGCTCTCAGCTTGTTGACCTGGGACTCAGCGATGTCAGCACGCTCCTGAGATTCTTCCAGCTCATGCTGCACCTTCCTGAACCTGGACAGGTGAGTGTTTGCCTGCTCCTCCTGTGAGAGTGAAGTCAAGTCACGTGGTTTAATGTTGTTTTTATGAGTGAAACATGTTCATCTGCATGGTCTTGTCATTCATTGTATTGCACTGCATGTACAATGCAAGACATGTAATGGCACACTTACAGCTTCCTCAGCCTGTCTCTTGTAGGCCTTTACTTTGAGCTGCAGCTTGTCCACCAGATCCTGCAGTCTAGTAACATTCTTCTTGTCTTCCTCAGTCTGCAAAGATTCTCCTTGTTTTAGGGTTTGCTTGGTCTAGTAGATATTCTTATTATAGTCTGTATGATACTCAGTTAATGCTTTACCTGGTAGGTGAGTTCTTTTACTCTCCTCTCGTATTTGCGGACTCCTTTAACAGCATCAGCGCTGCGTCTCTGTTCAGCTTCGACCTCAGCCTCCAGCTCACGGACCTAGAATACAATGATTTATGTGTTAAATTTGAACTATTGACTGAAAAAGCCCTCTATAAAAATAATTCATTTTTTTCCACTGTATAAAGAGTGTAGTATACCCTAGACTCCAGTTTCTGGAGCTGTTTCTTTCCCACCCTTCATGGCAAGGTTCTCAGCCTCATCCAGACGATGCTGCAGATCTTTGACTGTAACCTCAAGGTTCTTCTTCATCCTCTCCAGGTGAGCACTGGTGTCCTGTTCTTTCTTCAGCTCCTCTGCCATCATGGCAGCCTAGAGAATGAGCCATGTAATTGGTCCAGTAATTTAATTGTAAGTCACATGGGTGCAAAATCTATGCAGTTAAACACTCACATCAGTGACAGCCTTCTTGGCCTTCTCTTCAGCATTTCTCGCCTCCTGGACTGTATCATCCACCTCACTTTGGATCTGCACCAGATCAGCCTCAAGCTTCTTCTTGGTGTTGATTAGACTAGTATTCTGTGGAAAGGAAAAACAAAAAGCCATTAAGTTGATTTACTGTGCAGTATAAAATGAACAACAGATTTACAAACTGGTAGAATTTACCTGAGAGTGCAGTAGTGCCACACGCTCACTGGCATCAACCAGCTCCTGTTCAGCCACTTTGCGGCCTCTCTCTGTCTGCTCCAATGCAGCTCTCAGCTCCTCAATCTCTGACAGCATCAGGTTATTCCTGCGCTCCACCATGGCAACCTGCTCCTTCATGTCTTCCTGTCCTCTGACAGCCTCATCAAGGTGAAGTTGAGCATCCTGAAGTAAAATTTGTGTTGTAACTAAATGTCTCAACTTAAATATGTTTAAAAATAGCAGCAGAAAAAAATCTGAAGGTGTACCTTGAGTTGTCCTTGGACATTCCTGAGCTGTTTCTGGGCCTCAGCAGCCTGACGGTTTGCATGACTCAGCTGAATCTCCATCTCATTGAGATCTCCCTCCATTTTCTTCTTGACTCTCAGAGCATCATTCCTGCTCCTGACCTCAGAGTCCAGAGTGCTCTGCATGGACTCGATCACCCTCTGACTGTTCCTCTTGATCTGCTCCATCTCTTCATCCTTCTCAGCAAGCTTCCTGTCAATCTCACTCTTTACTTGGTTGAGCTCAAGCTGGACGCGAAGAATCTTGGACTCTTCATGTTCAAGTGTGCCCTGAAGAATTATGTTAATTGTTTAACATTTTAGTGAAAACCAAATTCTACATTTAAACTTTGTGAATTTATGTACAATGTTACCTCGGCTTCTTCAAGAGCCGTCTGGATTTCTGATTTCTCAGTCTCCACTGTTTTCTTTGCCTTCTCCAGCTCATGGATGGTCTTTCCAGTCTCACCGATCTGTTCAGTCAGGTCAGAGATCTCCTCTGCAGGAATATGAAGAATAATTGCTTTTTATTTTAAATTCTGTCTTTTCCTAGATATTTCTACTAATGTGTATATGTGCATGTTAATTTCTAAGTCACATACGCTGCAGATTCTTGTTCTCTCTCTTCAGGGTCTCCAGCTGGTCAAGAGCCTCCTCATATGAGTTCTTCATCTTAAAGAGCTCAGTGCTGAGAGAGCGAGCCTCTTTCTGAGCTCCCTCCAGCTCTGCCTGACCTTCTTCATACTTCTGCTTCCATTCTGCCAAGACCTGAAAATGTTGAGTTAAAATTAAAAGCCCTTGGTAACTCATTAGATCAGTATGGCTGCATGGTTAAGCTTCAGCCAACAAATCATTTACCTTATCAAAGTTCCTTTGCTTCTTGTCAAGATTGGCAGCCAGTGCATTGGCTCTCTCGACATCAATCATGAGGTCCTCCACTTCACCCTGCAGTCTCTGTTTGGTCTTCTCCAGAGAGGCACACTTGGAATTCACAGCTTCAATTGATTCCTCAGCATCTTGTAGACGCTGGGCAAGCTTTTTCCTGAGAAGGTCAAATGATGTAATGTTAGGTCTTAATTTATGAAACTTGTCTAATATGCTTACTAATTTGTGTTACTATTCAGCTTTTACTAACTTGGCCTCTTCAAGCTCCTCAGTACGCTGGATGGCATCTGTCTCGTATTTGGTTCTCCACTGAGCCACCTCACTGTTGGCCTTGGACATTCCACGTTGCAGCTCAGCCTTGGCCTCCTGCTCTTCCTCAAACTGCTCTCTGAGCAAGTCACAGTCATGACGGGCTGACTGGACAGCGTGAGCCAGGGCGTTCTTTGCCTAAAATGAATCACCCATTTGTTGAAACTTTCCATGTTAATGGATAGATGCTTGAGTATACAAATACATATATAACGATTGTATCAAATACTGCATTTTAATAGTACCTTGACTTCTTCCTCAATTTGTCTCTTGAGTTCTTCAATCTGCTGTGTGTAAGCTTGTTTTCCTCTGGTCAGCTGAGAAACAAGTGCCTCCTTCTCCTCCAGCTGGCGGCCAAATTCACCTTGGAAAAGTTTAGGGCAAATTAATGTACAAACGTGAAGCAAATTTTCTGTTTTAGTTGCTGTGTTGTTTTGCATTTAGTTACCATTCTCAGTCTGGAGTCGTGCTCTTTGTGAACTGATGTCATTCAGTTGACGGACATGTTCATCATTTTTAGCTTTGAGTTCGCTCAGCTGGTCCTCAAGAGTACGGCACATCTTCTCTAGATTTGCCTGGAAATGTATACATGATAATGAAATATATTGAGATGAAGATAAAAACAGGTGTCCTGCCTTGGCGAACAGACCAGAAACTAAAGGTTTTATTGTTTCTCCTATCTTAAGTGATATACAGTGTTTAATATTGTCGTGACCTTTTGCCCAACTTGACTTTATATGCTTACAACAAAACAATAGCTAATAACTCCATGCCCTGAATTATTACAAAATACAATTATGCAGTCATTTCAAATTGTATTTTTTCTCTTAATGTCAAATGAACACACCTTTGCTTTGGCCACAGCCTCCATGTTACTGGACAGGTCGTCTATTTCCATCTTGAATTCACTCTTCTCCTTCTCCAGCTTCTGTTTGACCCTCTGAAGGTTGTCAATCTGCTCTCCAAGCTCAGCAACACTGTCAGCTTGTTTCTTGCGGAGGGCAGCAGCTGTGGCTTCATGCTGCAGAGTGGACTCTTCCAGATCACGCCGCAGCTTCTGGAACTCAGCTTCACGCTTCTTGTTCATCTCAATCTGAGCAGCTGTGGCTCCACCAGCCTCCTCGAGCCTCTCACTGATTTCTTCAAGCTCCCTGGACAGATCAGCTCTCTGCTTCTCAACTTTAGCACGAGCTGCACGCTCAGCCTCAATTTCCTCCTCCAGCTCCTCAATACGAGCCTGAAAGAAACAGATTCAGTTCTTTCACATTTCTACTTCACCAAATCTGATTAGATACAATATTTTTAGCAGAAATTAATAACCTGGAGCTCCTTAATCTTCTTCTGAAGCTGAGCACCCAAAGACTGTTCATCTTCAATCTTGCTCAGAAGTTGGCTGATTTCAAAGTCCTTCCTGTTAGGAAAATGATGCAAGAACTAGAATTAGACATGTTTTGTTTTGTTTTTTTTTTGACTGGATTTTAATGTGACCGCATAATTCTTTTGTCATCTATACTGTGTTGAGGTATATACTTCTTGGTCTTTTCCTCAGATTGCTGCTTGTCATTTTCCAGGTCCATTATGGACTCCTGTGCCAGTTTCAAGTCACCCTCAAGCTTCCTCTTGGCTCTCTCAAGGTCCATACGAAGTTTCTTCTCTTGCTCCAGTGAACCCTCAAGCTGTATTTAATGGAAAGCAGTGGTTTTCACAATGACTCAGAGAAGCTCAACTGTTGAATTTTGCTGTTATAAAAGACCATTTTGTAAAATCTTACATCATCCACTTGTTGTTCAAGCTTTGTCTTGGATTTGGTCAGAGTGTTGACTTTGTCTTCCTCTGCCTGGAGATCATCAAGAGTTTGCTGGTGTGCCTCTTGGAGGGCTTTCTTCTCCTTGGTGAGCTTGGCAAGGCTCTCATCCTGAGAGGCCATCTCCTCAGTCAGGTTCTTGACCTGTATGAAAACATTTTGAAATACTAGGTTATCACTATTTCATGAAGATTGCAAGAGGGCTTTCTCACATTATATATACCTTGCACATCTATAAAAAATCTATTCAGCTTTCACAGACTTTAACTGCATTGATGTGTATAAACTATTAACCTTGTTCTCAGTGGCATGTTTCTCCT